AGCATACAGAGTTATTGAGTAAAACTAATTAATTTGAATGAATCAATGTTTGGTTTTTTTTTTAACTCAAGAAAACTTTCAATTTACAATATTTTGCTCCCATTCTTGAAAAGTAATAACATATTTATAGTAATGTCATCTTTTAAGTTGCAATAAAAGCACTTCTAGAACTCATTTAAATTTGGTCAGAAGAATTCTTGGTTGTAGGGGAGCTAAGTTTGTATTGATCGAGGGTCTCGGGGTCCCCCCAAAGCCAGAGGGGTGGGTCTGGGATAAAAATGTGGTCTAATAAGAGAAATAAAGGAAATGTTTTGTGGGAAGGGAAACCAATTTTGTATATGAGCTGTGGGTCTGACTACCCGAAGAACCTGAGGGGAAACGCCTGCCATCTAAAATAGAGATGAACAGCTTTAAATACTGTGTGTTGAAATTAAGATATATTGACTCAGTTTAGTCTGAAGGGTCTTTGTGGGAAGGGAAAGGAGTGAGGCCAAATGAGGAAACAGATTATCTTCAATTGAAATCAACAAAACCAGGTGCACTATACAGGCCTTAAACCTTATAACTGCAGTCACCTCCCTCCAATACAGTACTGCCTTTCGAGGTATTCAGTTACAACAGCTCCAATACCGCAATGCGAGGTCACCTCATCCCAGAGTCCACCTTAAAATTTCAATCCAAGAGGACTTAATACTTTAGATTATCAACAAAAACAATCTATACCCATCAGTTTTGGTCAAATTGGTGATGCTGCACTACCATTGTGATTACTGTTGACAAAACAAATCTCACAAAAATCATACACAAATGATTTTAAAAGATTTTTCAACACAACATTCACTGTTTAACATTCATCACAATTACTCAAACATACCTAAACTTGGTACAAATGTACTTCACTGCAACCTACAGCCACAGCCCTCAAATCCAGGGTAGCATGTTGTGAATCCCAAATATCATCTTCATTAATCCCCGCAATCATCTTCTCCAGGAAACCAATCACCATCACCGCCATAACCATATCAATCCCTGAAATCATCACCATTACCTACAACAGCTCCAATACAGCCATGCCAGGACAGCTCATCCCAAGATTCACCTGCAAGATATTATTCTGACAGAAATTCATACTTCAGATTATCAACAGAAACACTGTTTACCCATCTGTTGTTGGTAACATTGGTGATGCTGCACCATCATTGTGATTACTGTTGAAAAAAACAAATAAAAAAAATCATACACAAATAAATACACAAAATACTTTTTCTACAAAATATTAACACTATTTAACATTCATCATGAGTACTGAATTAATCAAACATACCTAAACTTGGTACAAATATACCTCATCGCAACCTCCAGCTAGTCAGGGGACAGAGGAGTAGGGTCTAAAGGGTCGGACTAAAGGTAGGCTTTCAAGTCACTTGTGATAAAAAATAAGGGCATTTTATAGGGCTGAATTTTTAAGAAGGGCAAATTTTAGGATTTTTAAGGGGTTTTTTTTATGACAAAAGGGATTCAGTTCACTTTTAAATACAAAATTAAACTTGTACTCACCATTGGGTGGATGGCTACAAGACTATAAGCTATTTACCAACCCAGAAGATCATATCAGTGGCCATCAACAGAGGTATTCAGTATTCCAATTCAAGCTGAAAAAAAAACCTTTATTGCATATAAAAGGATAATTTTCCTTGGATTAACACACACCAAATACAAAGTACACATAATGGATGCACATATGGATCATTGGCTGCATCAAATAAACAGCAGTTGAATATTGTCTTCAAACAAATAAGAACAAAGTATGAAATCAAATAGCAATCAAAATTATATCATAAATAAACCTAGTTATTTTATATGCATTCCAAACCTGGCAGTCAATATTTACATGTAGATCCTGCTTCAAAATAATTATGCACAATAATAATTAAAAAACATGTGTTTTTCACTCATTCAAAACACTCCCTTAAACACATGACAATTAAACAAAGAATGCAATAATAACTTGTATACAGGTAAGGTGTAACAACAATATAAAGAATGTCTGGTTCTTTTTAAGACAACTTAATAAAAGATAATTCAATAAAAAACATAAGTACACAGTTCAATAATTCTCGTTTTTTATCTAAATTGTAATCTAATAGATGATCATCGTCTCCTGCATATGAAAAAACCCATACATAAACAGGTTTTTATATCTCCCTTTATTTTGATAAATGAATGACTAACATAATCACAAATGGTGTGCTATGAGCATAGCAAAGAACAATATGCTTCTATTTGATATGTAAGACAAAGAGCATATTTGATAAATTTTAAATATCAAAACAAATTAGGATTTTCACCAAAAGTGTAGGGCTTTTTTTAAAGGATTTTTGAGCTTTAATTAGGACATTTTGGGTAATGTTGGTGTGAAAAACATCATGTCATGTAACAGATTCCAGAAACATAATATTTCCATGTTTTGGATAGACAAAGTGAACCACCAAGAGGTGATCCAAAATATGACAAACTTTACAAAATTAGAGAGACAACTGACCACACAACCAAGACATTTCTTGAGAACTACCAACATTCTCAGAACATTTCAGTTGATGAGACAACTTAGATTACTCTCTATGGTCCAAACCATGATACACTGGGCTTCTATGATATAGTTGTTGATATTGTAGATACTATTAATAATGAAAATGTAATTATTTGTGGTGATGTTAACCTGGTATTAGAACCCTCAATAGATTATGATAATTATAGACATGAAAACAACACTGCCGCTAGGAATAAAGCTCTAGAAATAATACAAAACTGGAGTCTTATTGATATTTTTAGTGAACACCATCCAGACATTAAACAATACACTTGGCGCAAAAACAATCCTGTTAAGTAAGCTAGACTAGACTTTTTTTTCTTATTTCCGACTCCTTATTATCCAGTGTAAAGAAATCAAAAACAGAATCTAGCTACAGATCTGATCATTCGATGCCAGTTAAACGGAAACGGTTTATGGAAATTGAATAATTCACTTTTATCTGATCAGGAATATGTGAAAATGGTAAATACTTGTATTGATGATGTGAAGCGACAGTATTGTTTACCAGTTTATAATTTGGAGAACCTAAATAAGCCAGATAATTACTTACAGTTTATGATAAATTATCAACTTTTTTAAGAAACCTTATTAATGGAAATTAGGGGCAAAACTATATCATATGCATCATTCATGAAGAAGCAGAGAATTATTCAGAAAGAAAACCTAAGAAATCCATAGAAACTTTAGGAGGGAAGTAATCACTGATCAGGAAAGTTTATGGAGAGTAAAAAAAGAATTAGAACCTGTTTGTTTGGAAATTTTGCACAAGTCCCCAGTGTTGGAGTACTACACAAGTAATCAGTCTCAGATATTTTAGTTTTGCAGTTTTACAATAGTCTATACACCAACAAGCTCATGGATTTACCACCTGTATAGATTGTAACCACTCACTGTTATACTAGGAAACAACGCACTTGTTTCATTATACAAACAAAATGTAGTTATATACATGCAAGTAGTTATTTTTCTCCAGACCATAGTTTTTTTTCCTGTTTTATATACAAGTCACCGATTTGTGGTGATATCAACTATACAGTTACTCATGTGACTAGTAGTTTATTTTCACAGTAACATAAGTGACCAGTTTATGGTATGTTTGACTCCCATTTAAACAAGTAACTTAAGTAACCTTTGTTCTAGTTTCTGGATCTGTATCCTAGCTTATTACCTTGATAGGAACTAGCAACCAGTATATGACATATCTGATTGTCTATATATATACATAACTGCTTTACTACCAGTAGTTCTCAATAACTAGTGTATTGTAAATTTGATTACCTATCTATGTGATTTAGTAATTAGTCTATAGGTAACTAGGTGGGGGGGGGGGGGGGGGGTAAGAAAATTTTTTTTTTTTTTTATAAAAAAAATATGAAATCGATTTTTCAACATTCTATTTACTCTTTTATGGAATTGAGTCATAAATCCTATGATTTTATCAGAGTATCTGACTTTCATCTGAATATCTGTATGAATCTGCATGTAACCAAATTCTCCCAAGTGTAATTAACTTTAGTTCAACTTATATTTTCAGTAAAAAGGTAACATATCAGCATTAACAACAATAAACAGTCGGTACATGTACACGAGACTAAATACCTATAGTTTTACTTAGTATCGGATATAAAACAGTAGAGCATTTACTTACATTCCAGCAAGGTCAGTCTTCATGTTCAAAGTCACAGGACACACTCACCCGCGAAAACGCGTTTTTCATTACCTGTTATCATTATCTATGACGATTTTCATTCGTCAATGTGATCATGTGACTAAATTTCATACGCTTACCAATGTCGCGCATTCACACTGTTGTAAAATAATTACCAAATAAAGTGCGTCAAAAATTCTGGTTTAAACCACCAAATTTGCTTTTATGGCTTAAACGAAACTTAAAATTATTAAATAAAATGTATGTTTACATGTATGTCACTTGTTCAAATTACGTATTTTGGTGGTTCAATTCTTCTATCTGAACAGTTTTGTGTATGCATATATAATTTTGTAGGATTAGCATACAGGGTGTCTAAGCTTACGTCACAACGCGCCGTGCACGTGATTTTCAAGTCTCTGACACGAATCACGCTTTGTGGCATTCATGACATACATGTCACAGAAGAAAACATAGAGTTGTATACTGTTGTTTATAAATATACATATGTTAATTATAAAGTTTGATGTAGATAAATGTTACTTTAAAGCGACTAGATTATGTTCTATAATGTTAAAAAAAACGCTACTAGAAAACTATATAAAACGTTCTATTTTCCAATAGTATGTTACGGAACTAAGACTATCTGTTAATTACTAAAATTAAAAGTAACTGCAACCATTTTTTTATTGATATCTAAGAAATAAAGAATGTAAACATAGCGGTCCTGATCTAATTCATAGATTAACGCTCGTAACCATGATGCTGCGCATGCGTATAAGCTTAGAAAGAATGAAGATGGCGGACGCAAACACGAAAAGGCGACGAGGACCTAAAAGTTACCTAAGAGAAAGTGTCAGAAAGCGTAAGAAGAAGGAGTCAGATCAGAACAGAGGTCAGACAAGAATTTATATAAGACAGGAGATCGATAGATGGCGAAAGATGAAGGAGGATCTTGGACTGAATACGGATTCGGAATTTGCGAAGCTGCTACTTGACTGGTTAGCTTAACGTAAGCCCTATAATTACAACGTATCCGCCTGTCATTGATCATAATCCAATATCCAGTGTTTGACGCGTGAATATGTTATGAACAACACTACTAAAAGTGTTATCTGATAAATGCTGAATGAAAATAGTTGTGTTATTCGCATGAATTTACTATCGACAACGTGTGTTTGTTGTTGACTGCAAGGTGGGGCCCAATCGGGGGTAATCGTTCTAAGTGTAAAAATATGACTGTACTGGTGTTACTGTGAGAAAAACGACCGTGATGATAAACATAACCTTCATGATAAACAGTGCAATGCTTATATGTGAAATTCAGTAGACTACAGATGGAATGTACATAACTACACGAACATGTAGTACGGTACGATATATAAAGAATGATAGGCGTGTATATATATATATATATAAATAAATGTGGCGGTAGAAGTCTCTGATGTTACCATTAGGCCTATATCAGTATTACAGTAAAGTAAAAAAAAATGTCGTTTTCAAGAAATCAATATTGCTTATTATTCATGATAATAAATGGCAATGAAAATGTTGATTTTAGTTATGAACTACACAAGAAAACATTAGATGAGCCTACTACTGGACACATCTGCAAGAAGAGAGACCCTACAAGAGGCTGTTCAGAAAGTGAAGTCACTTTAAGGTTTGTTGTTAATAAGATTGATTTTTAGGCAGGTAAAAAATTGTATGTAGTATACTGATGTTACAGAATACAACACGCAGATACATCAATCTTATTCTAACTTAAGTATGTGAGGTATAAGAAGAATATTACATCATTATGACATCATTATCAACATGACATAATTAAAGATAGTAATTTGAACATTCAGTGTGCATTTTGTTTACAGTTTTGATAAGTGGTTGGTGGGAGGTTGGGTAATTATGGCATATTGTGATTGTAAATTGGTTGGTTTCTCCATTGATTATTGAGATAAGACACCGATGGTTTGCAGTTTGGAATGATTTATTTTTTTATAATATGTTCAAACTATAAATGATTGTAAAAGAGTTTTTTCAGTGTATTTATGTGCATTCTTTTTTAATTGAATATTTGTTTTTTTGTGGATGACCTTGTCTTTTTGAGGTTTGAAGCTGTAGTAGCAGACATGTATGGTTCGGCTCCAGCTTGTTTCTTATATGTTGCTAGATTATAAATGTGTTATCATGTGGTAAAGTTCTACATATGTGTGTTGTATATATATCTGTTCCCTTTTTATTTAGTGGTTCAGAAATGTCAGGAGTGTTTGTGCAAGTTGCAGAATCATGGAAACACATACCAGTACCTGGACCATCCACTACTGATTTGCAGTAAGTATGTACCAGTATGTATTTGTGGTGCTGGTTTATAATTCTCCAGAGGGCATGACATTAATTTGAAGGTCAATATTATTTCAATCCAGCTCAACAAACCTGTTTTTCATTTCTAGGAAACTGAGCTGTAGTATTCACTTGAGAATGATGTATTAGATAGTCAATCCTGTGTCATCTGTGTGAATAAAGAATTTGCTATGTATATGTGTAATGTGTTGATCTTCTGTGTTATTTATTACAAATATAGCAAATTACTTGGTAAATAAATGTTTTGAAAAAAGACAAAAAGAAAATGGAGGATCTTGATTCAATAAATATGTTATCTATCTTTGTATTTCTTCAGACATTTCCTACATGAATGAAATAAATGATTTACGGTAACTACAGTATGCAGATTCATAGGTACAAGTAATGTTTTTAAACTTAACATTTTTATCATACTACAATAAGCAATGTATGTTATATCACATTTATTTTGAAGGAAACAACCAAAAGGCTGATAGTGCTACCAAAGAAGAGAGCAGTTTCATCAATCCTTTTGAGTAAGTTTTATTTATGTATGACACTTTGTATACCTCTTCTTGGAGGTCATTATAATTGGTTCACTTGTTTGCCTGGTCATTCTCAACTTGATACATATAGATATTTCTGGTAAAGATATCACTTCCAAGACAGCTGAGTGAAGGAACTATATGGCATCAATGAAGAATGATATGTTTGTGTTAGACATAACATCTGAAGCATCCAGTGTTCTATTCAGTGATATGTTTTCGGTTTTTAAAGTTCTCCACCTTGAATCGGGACAGGGGGGAGGCTGATATGATTTTGTGTTGTTTTAGTTTGTCCTGCTGCCTTGTCAGGTATATTCAATACTACCTGTCTCTGGAATTTAATACTTGTGATATGGGTTCAACTTGATCGAGCAGTGTGTTATTTATCAGAAGTAGGTCACATTGACAATCAAAAATATTGAAACTTGATACACATTTATATATTATTAGAGTAATTATGTAGACACATTTTTTGTTGCATTTTATTTACAGAGTGACAAGACCTTTGTCCAGAATTACAGATTTTATTGAAAATTCTCCTCTTATAGCCTCCAGTATAAGTATATATCTTGACATTTGTGTTTCAGTTACTGTTTAAGAAGTTCATTGATTTTTAAATTCAATTGGCATGAGCTAGGCAGCTCATTAGGGTTTTTCACCAACTGGTGAAAAGACCTATTGTTTTTGTTATGTTTCTTTTTATGCCCCCGGATCGAAGATCGTGGGGGCATATTGTTTTTGTCCCATGTGGGTCTGTCTGCGTGTCTGTCTGTCCTGAAACTTTAACCTTGGCCATAACTTTTTTATTACTTCATGGAATTTCTTCATATTTACACACATTGTGCCTTAAGACAAAACCTTTCCATAGAGGGCAATTTGTGTGACCTTGACCTTGATAAGAAAAACAGTGAAAAATCATGAAAAATCTTCCATTATTCTAAGCCTTTACAGGGCTCTCGCACCCCATTTTGGGACTTGGGCCTGGGGCCCTTGAAATTGGGAAAAATAACGTTTTTCTTAGAATTGGGGAAACTTGGGGTCTAAATTGGGGAAAAAAGATACTATTTTGCATTGGGAATGGGGCCTATATTCGGCCCCAAATCTGGCAGATCGAGAGCCCTGCTTTATAAAGCCCATGTTCTGGGGCATAGTGTTTCGTGAACACATCTTGTTCCTATTCTTATTATTATTCTTCCCAATTTTGTGGGTTCCTAATCTTTTAAATGACAAAAGGACTTGTATGTAAGCTATATAGTATATTATTGATGGATATATGAACGTGACAATGCCGAATTTTGAAGTTGGTCAAAATTCCAATATGGTCTCCAAGACTTCATAAGCTAAAAGCTTTAAAACATGTATCTCAAAAACCGTTGAGTTGCTGTTTTGATTTTAAAGTAGAGAATTTTTATATCTAACTCTTTTCCAATACACGTTTGTACAAAATATGTCAAATAAAAAAGCTTGCCATTGGGTAAAGTTTTGGAAATTTAAGAAAAAAATAAATTTTCAGTTGTCTTGAGAATTCGTTGTACAGGTTGGTGCAGAATGTTCCAGTCATATTGATGTCTTTAACTTTTCTGTATCACCTTCCGTTTACGTTGTACACTATTTTGAAAAATTCTTTTGATCTTTTGAAAAGGCCAGCCAATTTCATAAAACTTGTTCTAAAAGAAAACCAAAGGGTGTTCCTCAATGAAAATATGGCATTGTTTTCCCCAGATGTCCCCTCTCATTTGGTAATATTTTTAATTTCGTTGAAAAAAAGAAAATGGCCACCATGACGTCATATGCAATTTTAGCCCTAACATCAATAAATAGCAGCTCTAATTGAATTTTTGTGTAAAATATCAACTTCCGGTCCTCGGTAGGGGCCAAAAATGCAAAACTGCTATTTTTGTTAACAAACTTTTAAAAAAATTCTTAAGTTCTGGAAGGCCAGGAGGCATAGTATTTCACAAATACCATCCCATGGTCAATGTCTATCAAATTTGTTAATGTGGATGACCTTGACCCAATTTTAAGGTCAAAAAGGTAGAAAATATTAAAACCTTCAAATATGTTTTATTCAATAACAGAAAGGCACAACATCTGAAACAAGTGTCCAACACATATTCAGATTGGTTTTAACCAGAAAACATGTATTATATAAAATTTACTAAAATACATATACAATCGCAATAACATATTTTGCAATACTAATACATTTTATTATATTTCAGGTAAGCTGAAAATCAAAAGGAAGTATGAATTGCTTGGAAAATTTCATAAAGACGTAACTTTGGCACTGGAGGAGGTCACAGTCTTGACTCCCTCTGAGGACCCTCACACGTCTGTGGATAATGACACTCTATTGTCCGCAGATAAAGACACAATCCTCACAGTCTTGTCTCCCTCTGAGGACCCTCACTTGTCGGCGGATAAAGACACAGTCCTCACAGTCTTGTCTCCCTCTGAGGACCCTCACATGTTGGTGGAAAATGACACAGTCCTCACAGTCTTGTCTCCCTCTGAGGACCCTCACATGTTGGTGGAAAATGACGCAGTCCTCACAGTCTTGTCTCCCTCTGAGGATACTCGCATATCTGTTGAGAATGACCCTCATTTGTCGGTGGATAAAGACACAGTCCTCACAGTCTTGTCTCCCTCTGAGGACCCTTACATGTTGGTGCTAAATGACACAGTCCTCACAGTCTTGTCTCCCTCTGAGGACCCTCACATGTTGGTGGAAAATGACGCAGTCCTCACAGTCTTGTCTCCCTCTGAGGACCCTCACATGTTGCTGGAAAATGACGCAGTCCTCACAGTCTTGTCTCCATATTAGGACCCTCACATATCTGTTGAGAATTACCCTCACTTATCGGCGAATAAAGACACAGTCCTCACAGTCTTGTCTCCCTCTGAGGACCCTCACATGTTGGTGGAAAATGACGCAGTCCTCACAGTCTTGACTCCCTCTGAGGACCCTAACATGTTGGTGGAAAATGACACAGTCCTCACAGTCTTGTCTCCCTCTGAGGACCCTCACATGTTGGTGGAAAATGACGCAGTCCTCACAGTCTTGTCTCCCTCTGAGGACCCTCACATGTTGGTGGGACCCTCACATGTTGGTGGAAAATGACACAGTCCTCACTGTCTTGTCTCACTCTGAGGACCCTCACATGTTGGTGGAAAATGACGCAGTCCTCACAGTCTTGTCTCCCTCTGAGGACCCTCACATGTGGAGAATTCACTTGTCGGCGGAAAATGACACAGTCCTCACAGTCTTGTCTCCCTCTGAGGACCCTCACATGTTGGTGGATGAATGACACAGTCCTCACAGTCTTGTCTCCCTCTGAGGACCCTCACATGTTGGTGGAAAATGACGCAGTCCTCACAGTCTTGTCTCCCTCTGAGGACCCTCACATATCTGTTGAGAATGACCCTCACTTGTCGGCGGATAAAGACACAGTCCTCACAGTCTTGTCTCCCTCTGAGGACCCTCACATGTTGGTGGAAAATGACACAGTCCTCACAGTCTTGTCTCCCTCTGAGGACCCTCACATGTTGGTGGAAAATGACGCAGTCCTCACAGTCTTGTCTCCCTCTGAGGACCCTCACATATCTGTTGAGAATGACCCTCACTTGTCGGCGGATAAAGACACAGTCCTCACAGTCTTGTCTCCCTCTGAGGACCCTCACATGTTGTTGGAAAATGACGCAGTCCTCACAGTCTTGTCTCCCTCTGAGGACCCTCAGATGTTGGTGGAAAATGATGCAGTCCTCACAGTCTTGTCTCCCTCTGAGGACCCTCACATGTTGGTGGAAAATGACACAGCCCTCACAGTCTTGTCTCCCTCTGAGGACCCTCACATGTTGGTGGAAAATGACACAGTCCTCACAGTCTTGTCTCCCTCTGAGGACCCTCACATGTCTGTGGATAATGACCCTCACTTGTCGGCGGATAAAGACACAGTCCTCACAGTCTTGTCTCCCTCTGAGGACCCTCACATGTCGGTGGATAATGACTCAGTCCTCACAGTCTTGTCTCCCTCTGAGGACCCTCACATGTTGGTGGAAAATGACACAGTCCTCACAGTCTTGTCTCCCTCTGAGGACCCTCACATATCTGTTGAGAATGACACAGTACTTGCAGTCTTCTCTCCCTTCGAGGACTCTCACATGGTGGAAAATGACGCAGTCCTCACAGTCTTGTCTCCCTCTGAGGACCCTCACATATCTGTTGAGAATGACCCTCACTTGTCGGCGGATAAAGACACAGTCCTCACAGTCTTGTCTCCCTCTGAGGACCCTCACATGTTGGTGGAAAAAGACACGGTCCTCACAGTCTTGTCTCCCTCTGAGGACCCTCACATGTTGGTGGAAAATGACACAGTCCTCACAGTCTTGTCTCAATCTGAGGACCCTCACATGTCTGTGGATAATGACCCTCTATTGTCCGCGGATAAAGACACAATCCTCACAGTCTTGTCTCCCTCTGAGGACCCTCACATGTTGGTGGAAAATGACACAGTCCTCACAGTCTTCTCTCCCTCTGAGGACACTCACATGTTGGTGGAAAATGACGCAGTCCTCACAGTCTTGTCTCCCTCTGAGGACCCTCACATGTTGGCGGATAAATGACACAGTCCTCACAGTCTTGTCTCCCTCTGAGGACCCTCACATGTTGGTGGAAAATGACGCAATCCTCACAGTCGTGACTCCCACTGAGGACCCTCACATATCTCTCCCTCTGAGGACCCTCACATGTTGGTGGATAAAGACACAGTCCTCACAGTCTTGTCTCCCTCTGAGGACCCTCACATGTTGGTGGAAAATGACGCAGTCCTCACAGTCTTGTCTCCCTCTGAGGACCCTCACATATCTGTTGAGAATGACCCTCACTTGTCGGCGGATAAAGACACAGTCCTCACAGTCTTGTCTCCCTCTGAGGACCCTCACATGTTGGTGGAAAATGACGCAGTCCTCACAGTCTTGTCTCCCTCTGAGGACCCTCACATGTCGGTGGATAAAGACACAGTCCTCACAGTCTTGTCTCCCTCTGAGGACCCTCACATGTTGGTGGAAAATGACACAGTCCTTGCAGTCTCGTCTCCCTCTGAGGACCCTCACATGTTGGTGGAAAATGACGCAGTCCTCACAGTCTTGTCTCCCTCTGAGGACCCTCACATGTTGGTGGAAAATGACGCAGTCCTCACAGTCTTGTCTCCCTCTGAGGACCCTCACATATCTGTTGAGAATGACCCTCACTTGTCGGCGGATAAAGACACAGTCCTCACAGTCTTGTCTCCCTCTGAGGACCCTCACATGTTGGTGGAAAATGACGCAGTCCTCACAGTCTTGTCTCCCTCTGAGGACCCTCACATGTTGGTGGAAAATGACGCAGTCCTCACAGTCTTGTCTCCCACTGAGGACCCTCACATGTTGGTGGAAAATGACACAGTCCTCACAGTCTTGTCTCCCTCTGAGGACCCTCACATGTTGGTGGAAAATGACGCAGTCCTCACAGTCTTGTCTCCCTCTGAGGACCCTCACATGTCTGTGGATAATGACCCTCACTTGTCGGCGGATAAAGACACAGCCCTCACAGTCTTGTCTCCCTCTGAGGACCCTCACATGTTGGTGGAAAATGACACAGTCCTCACAGTCTTGACTCCCTCTGAGGACCCTCACATGTTGGTGGAAAATGACACAGTCCTCACAGTCTTGTCTCCCTCTGAGGACCCTCACATGTTGGTGGAAAATGACACAGTCCTCACAGTCTTGTCTCCCTCTGAGGACCCTCACATGTTGGTGGAAAATGACGCAGTCCTCACAGTCTTGTCTCCCTCTGAGGACCCTCACATATCTGTTGAGAATGACCCTCACTTGTCGGCGGATAAAGACACAGTCCTCTCAGTCTTGTCTCCCTCTGAGGACCCTCACATGTTGGTGGAAAATGACGCAGTCCTCACAGTCTTGACTCCCTCTGAGGACCCTCACATGTTGGTGGAAAATGACGCAGTCCTCACAGTCTTGTCTCCCTCTGAGGACCCTCACATATCTGATGAGAATGACCCTCACTTGTCGGCGGAAAAAGACACAGTCCTCACAGTCTTGTCTCCCTCTGAGGACCCTCACATGTTGGTGGAAAATGACGCAGTCCTCACAGTCTTGTCTCCCTCTTAGGACCCTCACATATCTGTTGAGAATGACCCTCACTTGTCGGCAGATAAAGACACAGTCCTCACAGTCTTGTCTCCCTCTGAGGACCCTCACATGTTGGTGGAAAATGACACAGTCCTCACAGTCTTGACTCCCTCTGAGGACCCTCACATGTTGGTGGAAAATGACGCAGTCCTCACAGTCTTGTCTCCCTCTGAGGACCCTCACATATCTGTTGAGAATGACCCTCACTTGTCGGCGGATAAAGACACAGTCCTCACAGTCTTGTCTCCCTCTGAGGACCCTCACATGTTGGTGGAAAATGACGCAGTCCTCACAGTCTTGTCTCTGAGGACCCTCACATGAGGACCCTCACATGTTGGTGGAAAATGACACAATCCTCACAGTCTTGTCTCCCTCTGAGGACCCTCACATGTTGGTGGAAAATGACACAGTCCTCACAGTCTTGTCTCCCTCTGAGGACCCTCACATGTTGGTGGAAAATGACGCAGTCCTCACAGTCTTGTCTCCCTCTGAGGACCCTCACATATCTGTTGAGAATGACCCTCACTTGTCGGCGGATAAAGACACAGTCCTCACAGTCTTGTCTCCCTCTGAGGACCCTCACATGTTGGTGGAAAATGACGCAGTCCTCACAGTCTTGACTCCCTCTGAGGACCCTCACATGTTGGTGGAAAATGACGCAGTCCTCACAGTCTTGTCTCCCTCTGAGGACCCTCACATCTCTGTCTGACCTCACAGTCTTGTCTCCCTCTGAGGACCCTCACATGTTGGTGGAAAATGACACATTCCTCACAGTCTTGTCTCCCTCTGAGGACCCTCACATGTTGGTGGAAAATGAAGCAGTCCTCACAGTCTTGTCTCCCTCTGAGGACCCTCACATGTTGGTGGAAAATGACACAGTCCTCACAGTCTTGTCTCCCTCTGAGGACCCTCACATGTTGGTGGAAAATGACGCAGTCCTCACAGTCTTGTCTCCCTCTGAGGACCCTCACATATCTGTTGAGAATGACCCTCACTTGTCGGCGGATAAAGACACAGTCCTCACAGTCTTGTCTCCCTCTGAGGACCCTCACATGTTGGTGGAAAATGACGCAGTCCTCACAGTCTTGTCTCCCTCTGAGGACCCTCACATGTCTCCTCACAGTCTTGTCTCCCTCTGAGGACCCTCACTTGTCAGCGGATAAAGACACAGTCCTCACAGTCTTGTCTCCCTCTGAGGACCCTCACATGTTGGTGGAAAATGACGCAGTCCTCACAGTCTTGTCTCCCTCTGAGGACCCTCACATGTTGGTGGAAAATGACGCAGTCCTCACAGTCTTGTCTCCCTCTGAGGACCCTCACATATCTGTTGAGAATGACCCTCACTTGTCGGCGGATAAAGACACAGTCCTCACAGTCTTGTCTCCCTCTGAGGACCCTCACATGTTGGTGGAAAATGACGCAGTCCTCACAGTCTTGTCTCCCTCTGAGGACCCTCACATATCTTGTTGGTGGATAAAGACACAGTCCTCACAGTCTTGTCTCCCTCTGAGGACCCTCACATGTTGGTGGAAAATGACGCAGTCCTCACAGTCTTGTCTCCCTCTGAGGACCCTCACATATCTGTTGAGAATGACCCTCACTTGTCGGCGGATAAAGACACAGTCCTAGATAAAGACACAGTCCTCACAGTCTTGTCTCCCTCTGAGGACCCTCACATGTTGGTGGAAAATGACGCAGTCCTCACAGTCTTGTCTCCCTCTGAGGACCCTCACTTGTCGGTGGATAAAGACACAGTCCTCACAGTCTTGTCTCCCTCTGAGGACCCTCACATGTTGGTGGAAAATGACACAGTCCTCACAGTCTTGTCTCCCTCTGAGGACCCTCACATGTTGGTGGAAAATGACGCAGTCCTCACAGTCTTGTCTCCCTCTGAGGACCCTCACTCTGTTGAGAATGACCCTCACTTGTCCGCGGATAAAGACACAGTCCTCACAGTCTTGTCTCCCTCTGAGGACCCTCACATGTTGGTGGAAAATGACGCAGTCCTTACAGTCTTGTTTCCCTCTGAGGACCCTCACATGTTGGTGGAAAATGACACAGTCCTCACAGTCTTGTCTCCCTCTGAGGACCCTCACATGTTGGTGGAAAATGACACAGTCCTCACAGTCTTGTCTCCCTCTGAGGACCCTAACATGTTGGTGGAAAATGACGCAGTCCTCACAGTCTTGTCTCCCTCTGAGGACCCTCACATATCTGTTGAGAATGACCCTCACTTGTCGGCGGATAAAGACACAGTCCTCACAGTCTTGTCTCCCTCTGAGGACCCTCACATGTTGGTGGAAAAAGACACGGTCCTCACAGTCTTGTCTCCCTCTGAGGACCCTCACATGTTGGTGGAAAATGACGCAGTCCTCACAGTCTTGTCTCCCTCTGAGGACCCTCACATGTTGGTGGAAAATGTCGCAGTCCTCACAGTCTTGTCTCCCTCTGAGGACCCTCACATATCTCTGAGGACCCTCACTTGTTGGTGGAAAATGACGCAGTCCTCACAGTCTTGTCTCCCTCTGAGGACCCTCACATGTTGGTGGAAAATGACACAGTCCTCACAGTCTTGTCTCCCTCTGAGGACCCTCACATGTTGGTGGAAAATGACGCAGTCCTCACAGTCTTGTCTCCCTCTGAGGACCCTCACATATCTGTTGAGAATGACCCTCACTTGTCGGCGGATAAAGACACAGTCCTCACAGTCTTGTCTCCCTCTGAGGACCCTCACATGTTGGTGGAAAATGACACAGTCCTTGCAGTCTTGTCTCCCTCTGAGGACCCTCACATGTTGGTGGAAAATGACGCAGTCCTCACAGTCTTGTCTCCCTCTTAGGACCCTCACATATCTGTTGAGAATGACCCTCACTTGTCGGCGGATAAAGACACAGTCCTCACAGTCTTGTCTCCCTCTGAGGACCCTCACATGTTGGTGGAAAATGACGCAGTCCTCACAGTCTTGTCTCCCTCTGAGGACCCTCACATGTTGGTGGAAAATGACGCAGTCCTCACAGTCTTGTCTCCCTCTGAGGACCCGCACATGTTGGTGGAAAATGACACAGTCCTTGCAGTCTTGTCTCCCTCTGAGGACCCTCACATGTTGGTGGAAAATGATGCAGTCCTCACAGTCTTGTCTCCCTCTGAGGACCCTCACATGTTGGTGGAAAATGACACAGTCCTCACAGTCTTGTCTCCCTCTGAGGACCCTCACATGTTGGTGGAAAATGACGCAGTCCTCACAGTCTTGTCTCCCTCTGAGGACCCTCACTTGTCGGCGGATAAAGACACAGTCCTCACAGTCTTGTCTCCCTCTGAGGACCCTCACATGTTGGTGGAAAATGACGCAGTCCTCACAGTCTTGTCTCCCTCTGAGGACCCTCACATATCTGTTGAGAATGACCCTCACTTGTCGGCGGATAAAGACACAGTCCTCACAGTCTTGTCTCCCTCTGAGGACCCTCACATGTTGGTGGAAAATGACACAGTCCTCACAGTCTTGTCTCCCTCTGAGGACCCTCACATGGTGGAAAATGAAGCAGTCCTCACAGTCTTGTCTCCCTCTGAGGACCCTCACATGTTGGTGGAAAATGATGCAGTCCTCACAGTCTTGTCTCCCTCTGAGGACCCTCACATATCTGTTGAGAATGACCCTCACTTGTCCACGGATAAAGACACAGTCCTCACAGTCTTGTCTCCCTCTGAGGACCCTCACTTGTTGGTGGATAAAGACACAGTCCTCACAGTCTTGTCTCCCTCTGAGGACCCTCACATGTTGGTGGAAAATGACACAGTCCTCACAGTCTTGTCTCCCTCTGAGGACCCTCACATGTTGAGAATGGTGGAAAAGACACAGTCCTCACAGTCTTGTCTCCCTCTGAGGACCCTCACATGTTGGTGGAAAATGACGCAGTCCTCACAGTCTTGTCTCCCTCTGAGGACCCTCACATATCTGTTGAGAATGACCCTCACTTGTCGGCGGATAAAGACACAGTCCTCACAGTCTTGTCTCCCTCTGAGGACCCTCACATGTTGGTGGAAAATGACACAGTCCTCACAGTCTTGTCTCCCTCTGAGGACCCTCACATGTTGGTGGAAAATGACGCAGTCCTCACAGTCTTGTCTCCCTCTGAGGACCCTCACATATCTGTTGAGAATGACCCTCACTTGTCGGCGGATAAAGACACAGTCCTCACAGTCTTGTCTCCCTCTGAGGACCCTCACATGTTGGTGGAAAATGACGCAGTCCTCACAGTCTTGTCTCCCTCTGAGGACCCTCACATGTCTGTGGATAATGACCCTCACTTGTCGGCAGATAAAGACACAGTCCTCACAGTCTTGTCTCCCTCTGAGGACCCTCACATGTTGGTGGAAAATGACACAGTCCTCACAGTCTTGACTCCCTCTGAGGACCCTCACATGTTGGTGGAAAATGACACAGTCCTCACAGTCTTGTCTCCCTCTGAGGACCCTCACATGTTGGTGGAAAATGACACAGTCCTCACAGTCTTGTCTCCCTCTGAGGACCCTCACATGTTGGTGGAAAATGACGCAGTCCTCACAGTCTTGTCTCCCTCTGAGGACCCTCACATATCTGTTGAGAATGACCCTCACTTGTCGGCGGATAAAGACACAGTCCTCACAGTCTTGTCTCCCTCTGAGGACCCTCACATGTTGGTGGAAAATGACACAGTCCTCACAGTCTTGTCTCCCTCTGAGGACCCTCACATGTTGGTGGAAAATGACGCAGTCCTCACAGTCTTGACTCCCTCTGAGGACCCTAACATGTTGATGGAAAATGACGCAGTCCTCACAGTCTTGTCTCCCGCTGAGGACCTTCACATATCTGTTGAAAATGACCCTCACTTGTCGGTGGATAAAGACTGTCCTCACAGTCTTGTCTCCCCCTGAGGACCCTCACATGTTGGTGGAGAATGACGCAGTCCTCACAGTTTTCTGCCACAAGTTGATGACTAACATGCAAACACATTTGAACAGAAACGAAAAAGAAGTGATAGATATGGTGGATATGAAAAGGAAAATAGATAGTTATGATCCATCTTCCAAACAAATAAAGACACAGCTGCATAAGAAACAGACCATTCTTCGCAATAAGGAAAACAATTTTCACAACTCCAAGGCTTTAAGTGAAAAAAAAAGGTGAAATTGTTCTTTCGCGTAGAACAGAAACATCAGTATTTGATGTATCCAAGCATGGGCCATGCCCATTGTGTGAGGAGTGGATTACACTGCAAAATATTACTAAACACAATGCTGCTTGTCCGTGTGCAGATCAAAAGAACCAGAGTGCAAGTAATTAATTCAATAAGGGCCTTGCAATCATTCAGTCAAAGGTGATGACTGGGAAGCTCTCTCCACATGCACCAAAAAAACTGGAAAAAACTGTGTTCCCATCCATGACAAGAGACAACATCACATCAGTTGCACAGAATGACCGATTAATAGTGGCTCTTGGAGATATTTGGCTGGTAAAAAACATTGGTAATAAATTGAGGAGTAGAGGGTTTACAAGTTTTAGGATGAGACTTGCTGCTAGATTTTTGCTTTTACTACGAGAATCTTCTGGACTTTAAAATTCAACAATGGATGAGTTTTTGAATCCTGCATATTTTGATAGTGTTGTCCAGTGCTCCCTGAAAGCCTGTCATGAAGATGGAAATGAGGAATTGAAAAATCCCAGTACCGCATTGAAACTTGGATATGACCTTACACATTTGGCGTCAGCAAAACTGGGCCTTGCCATTAAGGAAAATAATGTAAAGGCTAAAGAGGCAGCGACAGACTTCCTTCGTTTACTCCAAATGGAATGGAGTGTCAAAGTTTCCAAAATTGTGCGTGTTACATTGGAAGAAAGGCATTTCAATAAATTGTCACCGCTGCCAATTCCTGATGATATTGTGAAACTGGCATCCTACCTTGTCACGCAACTGCAAGATTTAGATCTGGACCAAAGCACTATCAATGAGGCATTCTACAGAGAGGTAGCTGTTTTGACTGCAGTGAGACTTATGGTATATAACCGGAGGCGTCCTGGTGAATTGGAGAGTCTAAGGTACATATGTATTTATTTTTAATTGATCCTAAAATTAATTACTACGATAAAAATATAGTAAATCTTATTGCAGAAATACTTATTTTCCATATTAAAGAGGACCTCCCAAATGATTGAAAAATTGAATAATTCAGGGTTTTAAATTGCCCTAAAACAAAACAGAGCTTATCCTTTAAAATCCCTGATAATGGTGAAAAAGCCTTAAATGGCCTTAAATTCACATTAAGGCCTTGAATTTGTGAAAATTGGCCTTGAATTTGATGAAATATGCATTAATTATAGTTTCTGTATGAATTCTTGCCATGTTTAGTGAGTTTTTGACCTCTAAGCTATGGATTAAAAAAGAAACAGCGGCTTTTGCCTATAGGGTTATTTCCGTATTTGCAGACAAAATGTATATGAAACTGTTAATTTTGTTGTCTCGTATAGATGTCTAAAATTTGTGAGGGCCTTAAACTATTGTAGCAATATTAACAAGTACATTGCTACCATAAAATGGATTGCATTCTTTTATTCGGTTCTATTTTGCATGTAAAAAATAGTTGCTATATTGATGCATTTTTCAGAGTTGATGCCTACTATAGAAGTTTCATGTCTGTGCAAAATAAAATTTACAATTTGAATAAGTGTAACAAAATCATCAAGCAAAGAAACATGGACTGTTGTTCTACAGTGATATTGGGTAGCTCTGGTCAAGTGATAAAGCATTAGTTTGTTAAAACTTAGATCTTGCTGAAGATTATTAAAAGGTGTTGTGAATATTGTATGCCTTGTACAATATTCCAAATATGAGGATATTTTTGCCTTTAATAGATACAGAACAATAAGTTGATAGTACTAGAATTTTATAATGGAACTTGATATTTTGTTACCTGTAGAACTTGAAGAGTCTATCCATGAGAGCAAGGGAGGAGACACCGATGCAACTGCTTCAGATTCCCATCTTGATGGTTCGTATTGCTTTTCTCGCCTCCCCACATTTTCAATTATCATAAAAAGTTAAGTGATACGAACTTAACATATATGTACTGGGGTATGCTTTCGAGATTTACATAGCAGTACTGGCATTAAATTACCATGTGTAGAAACTAGAAGGCAGAGTTGATTATATGTGTTAACAAGTTATCAGTGAAAAAGTATTTGGACCAAGCCATGTATCTGATCACCTTTGTTGTAAAATAGATTGATGAAATGGAAACTGATAATAATTTGATGGGCATTATGCGTGCATTTCTGTACATTTGGTACACCGCAAAGTTAAATGGATGTCCTTGACCATACAATGGTCAAAATCATGTCAAATTTCACATTACGGCACATATTAATGAAACAGCCAAATCTGACATGGAAATTATCAGTTATGTTCTTTACATTCATAAATTGAATCTCATTTAGTCAATATTTGTATAATTATAGTAGGGGTCATTACAGAAGAGCTGTGTACACACTGTACACATGATATCCTCAAAACATTTTGCCAATTTCGACTGAGCCATGCCCCACTGATGCTTATTTAGAAAATCCCTAGGTGCTGACATTGGTCAATTTAATTAAATCTTGACGTGATAAACCAATTGACATCGGAAGAAGTCTTGCCAGAGGTTCCACAGGCTAACACAAATTATAAAATCTGTGACTTTTGAGTTTATTTGGAAAATTTGAATGTATTGTATAATGCTTTTATGAGTATTGTGCACTGTTGTATACGAAACAACATTTTTAAAATTATTTGAAATAAATCCATATCATAGTTTTTCTTCATGATTTGGATTTAATGGTTAAATTGTTGTTTCCTGCAACAAAAAATCCAATATGGAGACTTTTAAACACCCTGTGAACAGAACTGCCCCACAATTAAACCTCTCCTCTTTAGACTTTAGACCAATGAAAAAAAAAAGATGTTAAAAAGTTTGTAGCTAACTGATTTCCCCTTCTCTTCTTTTAACCAAACAGATTGGGAACTATCTGGCATGGTAGATTCCTTTAGTGAACAACCACAGAAAAAGAAGTCACAGAAAGGTAAATATTCAATAATTAATACCAGATATCCACTTGATATACAGTATCAATGCTTTATGTCAATGAAATCCGTTGACATTTATAGGAGTTCAAAAATCATGAAAGTCTGTAATTTCCTTTAAGTAATTCAAATATATATGATATCAGATTTCAACCAAACATGTGCTGCTCTTACATGATTGTGCTAGTGCCCTTTCATAATCTGTCAGCAATTTTAGGTCATCTGACCCGAAAGGTCAAGATGAACTATGTTGCATCTGCCGTGCGTAAACTTTTTACTTAAAGGTTTTCTCAATAACCGAAAGACCCAGGGATGGAGTGCTACAAATTTTACTCGTATGGATGCTCGTGACCTACTTTCAAGGTCACAGGGGTCAAATATGTAAAACCTTTAACAATCTTCTCATGGACCAAAAGGCCCAGGGTAATTATATATGGGTAGTAGGTACCGAGGCTGGAGTGCTACAAAGTTTCCTCATATCAATGACCTTTGCATACTTTAAGGTCACAGAAGTTTGGTCAGATGACAATTAAGCCCCCTTGGCCCTTGTTTAGATTATCTTGAACTCCATTGTTTTGAACTTTCTATGCTATCATGTGCAGATGTGCAATGGTTATTGTTGCTTATAATAATCTAAGGACCAACTCTGAGATCTGTTCGCTTTCATTGTGAACACTTTGTAATGGCATTTTATGTCAAGTGACCAATGAATGGTCCAGGGTGAAGGTTGTTTGATCTTTATCCATTTGGTAAGTCATCCTGCTGAGAGTTCTGTTTCACTGTCATTAAAAGTGTGTTGTCTACCAAATCAATTCCAAATTAAAACCTTAAAACATTCTTATAGCAGTTATCTTCATACATGAAAATGCTTTTGACTTTCTTTTTTTTTTTTTTTTTTTTAATTGCAATTGGCAGTAAGAGTGAAATGGACCGAGGTTGAAGAAAATGAGATCAAGAAATACTTCTCCTCATATTTTGATGGGACCATAGAAAAAACTTGCCCTTCGCAACAACACTGTCTTCTGGCAGTGAGGAAAAGTGCAGAAAACCAAGGAGAATTACACCGAAGAAAATGGGATACATTAAAGAAGAAGGTTTCAAACATGCTGCTAAAAAATGCCAAGTACTCTACAGGATAATGACGGACTATCAGAAATGAACTATCAGAAACTCTTAGGTCATGGATGAAATAGTAAGATCTTAGGTCATGGAAAAATGTTATAATATGTTAACACTTAGGCCATGGATAAAGTATTAACACTTACCTTGGATTATGGAGAAAGGGTTATGGAGGAATGTTGAGATTTGTATCGATGTTTATATGTTAAATGTTAGGTCATGCACACAATGAAAGATTTGTGTTGAGTTTTATATGTTAATTCTTTCATCCTGAACACAATGTTGACTCTTAGGTCGTGGATAAAATAGTTACATCTTAGATGATAGAAAAATCTTCAGATTTGTGTCAGTGTTTATATGCTCTTAGGTTATGGATGAAATAGTAACATCTTAGATCATGGAAAAATCTTAAGATTTGTGTCAGTATTTATATGTTAACTCTTAGACCATGGACAGTGTTAACTCTTAGATCACGGACACAATGTTAACTCTTAGACCATGGACAATGTTAACTCTTAGACCATGGACAATGTTAACTCTTAGACCATGGACACAGTGTTAACTCTTAGACCATGGACAATGTTAACTCTTAGACCATGGACAGTGTTAACTCTTAGACCGTGGACAGTGTTAACTCTTAGATCACGGACACAATGTTAACTCTTAGACCATGGACAATGTTAACTCTTAGATCACGGACACAATGTTAACTCTTAGATCACGGACACAATGTTAACTCTTAGACCATGGACAATGTTAACTCTTAGATCACGGACAGTGATAACTCTTAGATCATGGACACAATGTTAACTCTTAGATAATGGACACAATGTTAACTCTTAGACCATGGACAATGTTAACTCTTAGACCATGGACAATGTTAACTCTTAGATCACGGACACAATGTTAACTCTTAGACCATGGACAATGTTAACTCTTAGATCACGGACAC